TTATATATCTGAAATTTGAGTATGTGTAAAATTATACATTTATGAAATATAAGGTCAGTGACACATGATATCGCTTTATAAATTCTATTTTAATTATAAATAGAATAAATACATCGTTTGGGTATGAATTTAGTTGGGGCGGCCGTAGAGAGTGGATGGGGCGGCAACTTCGTCGGAATCATAACCGGCGCGGGCGCGGGCGGCGTCCTCCTCGGCGGCGAAGGCGATCTGGTCGAGGACGAACTGAGGGATCGGGTGGGGGAACTCGGGAGCCACGGGCAGGAGGTCGGACTGGGGCTGGAAGCCGTTCTCGTCAGCAACGTACTTGACATGACTTCAGTGCCGTCAGGAGCGGTGTATCTGTAATGCATTGAAAATATTAAAAATAGAAGTCATGAAATCATGACACTTTTCTTTTCCTAACAATTGGAAGTGTTTCTCATCAAATGATTAATAGTAGTACTAACGAGTATTCTCCGGCCTTGATCACAGCGTCGTCATCACCGTCGGGGGATCCAGCCTGAGAGAAGCGGATGCCGTTGGCAGCTTCGAAGTCGAAGTTGAAAGTTCCGTCGTTCCTCGTGGACGCGGTCGTCCTTGAGGATTGGCACGAACTCGACCTCTTCGCTGGAGTCAGCACGAGGAGCCCCATAGCTGGTCTGGGGAGCAGCGACTTCTTCGCTAGACTCAGCAGAAGGAACCCCATAACTGTACTGGGAGCGGCGACGGCCACGGCGGCAACACAGGCGAGGATCAGCTGTAGTCACAAACGGGGATGTCATCACAAGGTCAGTCATGCTCATAGTCAATTTACATTAAAACACCCAGTGAGACATTTTATGAAATGTACCATGTTTATACGTAATTAAACACACACACACACACACACACACATATGATGTAAGTCTCTCTTTTCATCTACTTACGAATTTCATGTTGATGTGTCAGTAGATACTATACTGGTACCAGGATCAGCGTTGGCCCATCTTATATAGCAGGGACTGACCTTCCCTACGTACAAAACCCTGACCTTCACCTTTCAACTCATTAGTAGTCTTGGATTCACCGCATCATTATACTTTATTTGTATCCTCTTAGACCTAGTTATCGCGGTGTTTCTTCCTTTTTTTTTCTTTCTATGGTTGCTGCACGATGCAATATGTTGCATAATTCTTGCATACGATTACATATATTTGCAAATTATTGTAGATTAGTAAAAAATATAATTAAGTTTTGAAAATTATTTGAATATCGTGAAGCACAGATCACTGGCCGTCTTTTTTTTTTTTTTTTTTTTTTTTTTTTTTTTTTAATAATGAAAAATGTAATTTGTTGCGTGGAATATTGATCCACTTTTGTTCTCTTTAATGATTAGAACTGACACCTAGTTCGTAAATGCATGGTGTCTTCTTATTGTGTATTGGATCAACTATTCTTATTGAAGACTACTGTGCTTCAAGTGTATTTCTTTGAAACGTTATGAATGGAACTCTTCATTAGTGTGCTGTTTCACAAGTTAATTTTATTTTTTTTTTTTTCTTATAATCATTAATAAAACGATAGAAGATGAGGAAGAGTTGCTCACATTATCATTACCTACTGATATTAAGAGTTTAGAGACTATATTGTCCAAATTTCGTGTACAAACTAACCCCATACGCTTTTTCTCTCAATTCAACCTCTCTCTTTCTCTCTACTCCCCCTCTCTTATCACTCACTTAATCTCTCTCCCCCATCCATCTCTCTCTCTCCCTCCTCTCTCCCCTCCTCTCTCTCTCTCCCTCCTCTTTCTCTCTCTCTCTCTCTCCCCCTTTCTCTCTCTCCCCTCCCTCTCTCTTCTCCCCTCTTTCTCTCTCTCCTTCCTTCTCTCTCTCTCAAAGACGTATTTTGAATAGGGAATGCTTCCCGATATTTTTTAGTTTTACTAGGACGAGCAGGCATCGAACTCATATTAACTTGGGAAGTCTACTGTTGATGACATAAGCTGTCACGGCAGGTATTTTAAAATCAATATTTCCTTGGTTCTGCATTATGGGAAAAATGGAGAAAGGGTAATATTTCCTCCCCCTCAGAACACGCTTAAGTATGTATGTGAGAGAGAAACAAAGAGATAGAGAGATAATTTGACGTGTTTGTTGAGGCAAAAACTATATCTGAAAGGGATGAGGTAACTTAAATTATCCTCACCCCTATAGAGAGAGAGAGAGAGAGAGAGAGAGAGAGAGAGAGAGAGAGAGAGAGAGAGAGAGAGAGAGAGAGAGAGAGAGAGAGAGAGAGAGAGAGGAGGGGGGAGGGAGAGAGAGAGAAAGTTCACAGAATTCTCAATAGGCTTCTTCCACTTTTGAATCGTAAACGAAGTCCCTTACAGTGAGATAGTGCATCAATTAATGAACCAGTCTAATGCAATATAAAAAAGATCCGTTTTGCGTTGTTGTGCATTTTGAATGGTATTTGTGTGTCAGTTAAAGTACATGCGTTAGTATTATGAATCTTTTAATTATTCGTTAAATGAGTTGATGTAATGTACTAACATTATGTGTTGATATTGTTAAGATATTACCTCATCTGTAATATAGTAACTTGCCTTGTATTCAATCTGATTGTTTTTTTATTTTGTTTCTCATTATCTATGTTATAATCTATTGTTACGGTCATCGGGTCGTCTTCAATGTTTTACTTTAAATATAGGCCTATATCTTTAAACACAGATATCCATTACATCTTCCTTTTCATTTTTTTTTTCGAATGTTCTTGCATTTTGAAATTGCATTACGAGTGTGGCAAGGTACATGATCAGCAGTAATTTATGAACATTCAGTGGCAATAACTTGGAAATAATGCTGTAGGAAAATTATATATCTGAAATTTGAGTATGTATAAAGTTATACATTTATGAAATTTAAGGTCAGTGACACATGATATCGCTTTATAAATTCTATTTTAATTATAAATAGAATAAATACATCGTTTGGGTATGAATTTAGTTGGGGCGGCCGTAGAGAGTGGATGGGGCGGCAACTTCGTCGGAATCATAACCGGCGCGGGCGCGGGCGGCGTCCTCCTCGGCGGCGAAGGCGATCTGGTCGAGGACGAACTGAGGGATCGGGTGGGGGAACTCGGGAGCCACGGGCAGGAGGTCGGACTGGGGCTGGAAGCCGTTCTCGTCAGCAACGTACTTGACATGGACTTCAGTGCCATCAGGAGCAGTGTATCTGTAATGCATTGAATATATTAAAACATAAGACAGTCATGAAATCATGACACTTTTCTTTTCCTAACAATTGGAAGTGTTTCTCATCAAATGATTAATAGTAGTACTAACGAGTATTCTCCGGCCTTGATCACAGCGTCGTCATCACCGTCGGGGGAGCCAGCCTGGGAGAAGCGGATGCCGTTGGCAGCTTCGAAGTCGAAGTTGAAAGTTCCGTCTTCCTCGTGGACGCGGTCGTCCTTGAGGATTGGCACGAACTCGACCTCTTCGCTGGAGTCAGCACGAGGAGCGCCATAGCTGGTCTGGGGAGCAGCGACTTCCTCGCTCGACTCAGCAGAAGGAACCCCATAGCTGTACTGGGGAGCGGCGACGGCCACGGCGGCAACACAGGCGAGGATCAGCTGTAGTCATAACGGGGATGTCATTACAAGGTCAGTCATGCTCATAGTCAATTTACATTAAAACATCCGTTGAGAGCATTTTATGAAATGTACCATGTTTATACGTAATTAAACACACACACACACACATATATGATGTAAATGTCTCTCTTTTAATTTCTACTTACGAATTTCATGTTGATGTGTCAGTAGATACTATACTGGTACCAGGATCAGCGTTGGCCCATCTTATATAGCAGGGACTGACCTTCCCTACGTATAAAACCCTGACCTTCACCTTTCAACTCATTAGTAGTCTTGGATTCACCGCATCATTATACTTTATTTGTATCCTCTTAGACCTAGTTATCGCGCTGTTTCTTTCCTATTTTTCTCTTTCTATGGTTGCTGCACGATGCAATGTTACATAATTCTTGTATACGATTACATACATTTGCAGACTAGAAAGAAATATACTTAGGTGTGACTTTTGAAAATTATTTGAATATCGTTCATCGCGGATAACCGGTCGTATACATTTAAAGGTTTGTCGGTATACATGGAGTGGAGAGAATGAAAATATTAACATGTTTTTCGTATTTCACGTAGAACGAAGAAATGAATACTGCAATTATTAGTTTACCTAGATATATCTTTCTATTTTCCCATTGCTAGAGTTGGTAAAATATAAAGTGGATTGTAATTAAAGAAACTTTAAATCGCATAGCTTCGAGTACTCATCAGATTTTTTTTTTTCTTTTTTCTTAAAAAATGAAAAGTATAATTTGTTGTGCGGAATATTGATCCACTTTTGTTCTCTGTAGTAATTAGAACTGGCAGCTAGTAACAGATCAACTGTTTTTATTGAACATTTCTATGCTTGAAAGTGTATTTCTCTAAAACGTTATGTATGGAAGCTCTTCATCTGTGTGTTGTTTCACAAGTTTACAGTTACATTACATATCGTAATCATGAATAAAACGATAGAGGATAAGTTTGGCCACTACATCTGTCAAATTTCGTGTATAAAATAACCTAATACACTTTTCTCTAACCCCACCCTCTCTTTCTATTACTCAGTCTCTCTCCCCCTTCCATCTCTCTCTCTCTCCCTCCTTCTCTCTCTTTCTCTCCCTCTCTCTCTCCTCTCTCTCTCTCTTTCAAATACATGTTTGTGAATTAGGAAGGCCTTCCGAATCATTCTTAGAGGGATATAGGCCTCTAGTTTTAATAGGGCGAGCAGGCATCGAACTTATCATACTAACTTGTGGAAGTCTACTGCTAATGGTAAAGTTGTCACGGCAGGTATTTTTAAATAAGTATTTCCTTTGTTTGCATTTAGGTAAAATAGACAAAGGACAATATTCCCTCCCCACTCAGAACATCCTTGCATATGAGATATATAGATGGATCGAGAGATAGATAGATAGATAGATAGATGGATAGAGAGAGAGAGAGAGAGAGAGAGAGAGAGAGAGAGAGAGAGAGAGAGAGACTTTGATAATTGAGACAAAAATTACATTAAAAGGATGAGTAACTTAGGTTATCCCACCCTAGAGATAGATAAATAGACAGACATATAGATAGAGAGAAGTGATTGAAGTTCTCTCAATCACTGAGCTTTTTTCTCTTACATTTATTTTTTGCATCGTAAACGAAGTCCCCTACAGTGAGATAGTGCATCAATTAATGAAAATCTACTGCAATATATATAAAAATCGTTTTGCACTGTTTTGCATTTTGATTTAAAGAATGGTATTTTTGTGCCAGTTAAAGAACATGTTTAAGTATTAGGAATCTTTTAATATGTGTTGATGTATTTCACCGTAATGTACTAACCTCACGTAGGCTGCTATTGTTAAAATACTACTTCATTTATTATACAGTAACTTGCCTTATGTTTAATCTGACTTCTTTATTATTTTTGTATGTTCACATTATCTATTTCATAATCTATTGGCTATGGTTTCCGAGTCATTTTTAATGTTTTACTTTGAACATAGGACTATATCTTTAAGCACAACCATCCTTTACTTCTTGTTCACTTTTTTTTTTGAATATTCATGCATTTTGAAATTATATTGTGGGTGTAGTGAGGTAATCAGCAGTAATTTATGAATATGCAGTGGCAATAACTTGGAAATAATGCTGTAGGAAAATTATATATCTGAAATAGAAGTATGTATAAATTGATACATTTATGAAATTTAAGGTCAGTGACACATGATATCGGTTTGTAAATTCTATTTTAATTATAAATAGAATAAATACATGGTTCGTATAAATGGTTAGTTGGGGCGTCCGTAGAGAGTGGATGGGGCGGCAACTTCTTCGGAATCTTCCT